TAGACTCTCTATTCTGTTCCACTGATGTATATTTCTAAACCTCCACCAATACCACAGTCTTGATTACAGTATCTTTAGAGTCTTAAATTGTGTCATGTGAGTCCAAGATTTTCCAGTTTGGTGAAAATTTGGTTTAGCTAGTTCAGTTCCTTTGCCTTGGACAAGGCTTTAGAATCCACTTGCCTACATCTACAAAACAACCCTTCCAGGATTTTGACTGATACTTGGTTAAATCTAAAGATCAACTTATGAAGAATTGACAACTTGACTATGGTGAATCTTCCCATCCATGAATATGACATGTCTCTTGTTTATTTAGGTCTTTTATTTCTTTCATCAGTATCTTATAGTTCTCAGAGTACAGGCCCTATGCATGTTTTGATTTATACCTAAGGATTTCATAATTTTATAAACTATTGCAAATGACATTGTTTTTAAGCTCAGTTTTCAGTTGCACATTGCTAGTGTATAGAAATAACTTTTGTGTTTGATCTTGGATCCTATAATCTTGCTAGCTAAACTCACTTATAAGTTCTTGGATTTTGCTTTTTTTTTTTTTTTTTTTTTTTAAGAGTCTTATCATGCCTGGTTAATTTTTGTAATTTTATCCAGATGGGGTTTCACAATGCTGCCCAGGCTGGTCTCGAACTCCTGGTCTCATGCAATCCACCTGCCTTGGCCTCCCAAAGTGCTGGGATTACAGGCATGAGCCAGCCGGGTTTTTGCCTTTTACAGCTTCCTTTGTTATGTTCTGCATATTCGATCATATCCTTCACACACAGAGACAGTTACACTCTTTCCTTTATAATATGTATGCTTTCTATTTCCTTTTCTTGATTTATTGCACTGGACAGGATTGCCAGTCCTATGTTAAATAAGAGTAGTGACAGCAGACATCCTAACCTTGTTTTGATCTTACAGGGAAAATATTTGGTCTTTCACCATTAAGTATGAGGAACTAGTTTTTTCAAAGTTGCCCTTTATGAGGTTGAGGAACTTCCTCCCTACTCCTCCTAGCTTCCTGAGAGCTTGTATCACGAATGGATGTTATATGTTGTCAAATGCTTCCCTGCATCAATTGGTATGGTCAGATGGTTTTTCCTCTTTGGCCTTTAATCTTTCTTAATGGAGACTACATTGATTGATTTCCAAACACTGAACCAGCTGTAACCCCACATGATCATGATTCTTTCTATATATTGCTGGATTTTTATCTGCTCATATTCTATTCAGGATTTTTGCTTCTATGCTCATGAGGAATATCAGTCAGCTTTTATTGTTCTGTCTTGCCCCATTTTGAATAAACATCCTTTCCTTTTATAATGAAAACTTCTTAAATGAAATATGTGACCAAAAATCCTATAATTATCATTACTATTTTGAAATATTTTATTAGTTTTTATATGTTAATGTAGGTTTCCTCAATAAGACAAGCCAGTACCCAGGCCTTGTTCATGGTGTTTGACTGCAAGTAAAACCATTGGCCCCTCTTGAGCCTTGTGTACGCGATATAGATAATGGTGGAGAATGTTCTTTTGAGATCTTTAATCAATTCTGTCAGAGACCTCTCATATATATATATATATATATATATATATATATATATGAGAAATTTTTTTAATTTTATATTTTTATGCAGAAATTTCAATTTTATATTTTTAAAAAATATATAGGAGGTACATATGCATATATATTTTTAAACAGAAATGAGTATCACTAACAGCACAAGCTAACATTTACCTTGCACTTTGCATCTGGTATTTAGCTAAGCAATTTAAAAATTACCTCTTTTAAACAAAACTAGGTTTTTTATCTGTACATCGTAGATGATTCAACAGGCTACGTAACTAGCCAGTGGTTTCACAAAGTATGTAAAGAGGTAAGCTACATCTTGCATCCTGACTCCAAAGCTTATACTTCTAAATTGCTACCACAAGCTTTCAGATACTGTTCTATAACCTATTTCTTCATCTAATGTCTCCATTTTATCTTTTTAATGTTTGTATCACATTCCATGGTAAATCATATTTTCCAAAATTATTGCAATAATATATTCCGTAAAATACGCTCTTCTGGCAGTGTGACTCTGATACTCCTCCCAAGAAGCATGGTCTACATTCCTTCCCCTTTGAGTTTGGATAGACTTGACTATGGAGAAAGAGATGCTTTTTTTTTTTTTTTTTTGAGACAGAGCCTCACTTCAGTCACCCAGGCAGGAGTGCAATGGTGCAATCTTGGCTCACTGTAACCTCCGTCTCCCAGGTTCAAGCAATCCTCCCACTTCAGCCTCCCCAGCCCCACAGGTATGCGCCACCAGACCTGGCTAATTAAAAAAATTTTTTTTGTACAGACAGGGTTTCACCAAGTTGCCCAGGCTGGTCTTGAACTCCTGGGCTCAAGCAATCCACCCACCTCAGCCTCCAAAGTGCTGGGATTACAGGCATGACCCACCATGCCTGGCCGAGATGCTGTTATTTCTGATGCTAGGTCACAAGAGGCAATAACGTTTTCTCTGCCTGGTTCTCCAGAACCCAGGCAACTATGCTGAGGAGGCCCATGCAACCACATAAAAAGGTCACATGTAGATGTTCATATGCAATCGCCCTAGCTGAGGTCCCAGTCAAGAGCATCGACCACCCAATTTGTGATGGAGCCTTCAGTTGTGTTGTCTGATGGAAACATGTGAACCATACATGTAGGCTGCATATGTAAATTTAAATTTTCTAGTAGTCACTTTAAAAATCAATTTTAGAAATACATTTAGTTTAACCTAACATATCCAAAATATAATCAGTATAAAAACCATTAAGATAGTTTAGGGTTTTTTTGTACAAAGTCTTCAAAATCTGATGCACATTTTATACTTGCAGTACTATTTTCAATCAACACACTAGTCGCCATTCAGACTGGCCTCACTTCAACTGCTCAGTAGTCACTTGTGTCTACCATTGTGTGGCCACTTCAGATGACTCCACTGACCAACTGTCAATTCTAGCCTTGAGTTTTCCCAAGTGAAACCCCAGACATCATGGAGTTACAAAGCTGTGCCCTTTCTAAATCCTTCACTCACAGTCTGTGAGCATAAAAAATTGGCAATTAAGTGTGTGATGGTGTATTATGCATCCATAGTAACTGGGATACTAGCCAATCAGAGTTTTATAACTTCTTTAAACATTTCTCTACGTAGATGTTTCTCCCACCCCTTTCCAGGATATTATAAAATCAGTGATGATGAGCAATACAAACTCTGTAAGTTAGTCAAATTATTTCCTTAAATGTTTGAGGGTGGCATTTCTGGGTCAACGAGAACATACATTCAGGAAATTTACATTCATGTTGCCAAACTATTATCCAAAGCAGCTTAACCAGTTCTCACTAACAATCATGTATGTGTGTGCGACTGTGCTTCTCTTGATTAAATCTGGCCCTTTTCAACCGTAAGTTGAATATTTAGATCCTTTCTTTTCTATTTTATAACACTCTTCTCTAAGTTTGCTTTATTTCTTTTACATTTTGAACTATATCCATGATATATTTTTATCACAAAACATTCAGGTAATGAATTGACTATATAAAAGAAGTACTATACCATTATTCTTTACTTTGGATCTTTTTCTTTTTCTTTTTTTTTTTTTTTTTTTTGAGATGGAGTTTTGCTCTTGTTGCCCAGGCTGGAGTGCAATGGCGCGATCTCAGCTCACTGCAACCTCCGCCTCCTGGGTTCAGGCAATTCTCCTGCCTCAGCCTCTCGAGTAGCTGGGACTACAGGCGTGTGCCACCATGCCCAGCTAGTTTTTGTATTTTTAGTAGAGATGGGGTTTCACCATGCTGACCAGGATGGTCTCGATCTCTTGACCTCACGATCCACCCGCCTCAGCCTCCCAAAGTGCTGGGATTATAGGCGTGAGCCACCGTGCCCAGCCTTACTTTGGATCTTTTCCAACTTGATGTCATAAACAGCTTTCCCTGTCAGCTCATAAAAGTCTAACTCACCAAATATTAATTAATTAAAGGACTGCCTTTTAATAAAATGTTGAGTGACTGCATGGTAGTCCAAAGATGCATGTATCTTAATTTACACATTGCCCTTATGATTGACATTGCAATGATCACCTCTTCATTACTACAATTCTGTAAAGACCACCTTTACTTTTTAATTAGATTTTAAGTAGAAATGTTAGATCAAAGGGTTGAAGTTGGTAGGCATAAATAATCATTTATATTTCGTTTTCTGACAACCGTACATTCATATCCCAGACCATTTCTCCACTGGAATTTTTATATTTATGTATTTTCAAGGACTCTCTAGATATTCTAAGTGTTATCTGCTAAATATGATGATGGTAATATTTTGTCCAGCTCTAGCCCTTTGTATTTTAATACTGTGAAGCCTCTAGTTGTAGAAACTGAAAGCTTTTAGTTTCTACGTGGCATCTGTCTTATTTTTATGACTTCTGAGTAGGAAGATAACTATACTGAGTTATGGAAGATACATGAATGATGCTTGATTAAATATTGCATTTCAAAGAACACAACCAAAGTCAAAATTTCACTTCATCATACCAATAAAGATTGAGTATTCCTCGTCTGAGATGCATGGGACCAGAAGTATTTAGGATTTCAGACTTTTTTGGACTTTGCAGTATTTGTACACACATAATAAGGAATCATGGGAATGCATTTTAACTGCAATCCATCACATAAGGTCTGGTGTGGAATTCTGCCCCTGTTGGTGCTTAGGACAGTTTTGGATTTTGGAGCACTTCAGATTTCAGACTTTCTGATTATGGATGCTCAACCTATACCACATCCTCCTCAAAGATAACTGCTGTTAGCTCAATATGGTGGCACATGCCTATAGCCCCAGCTAGTCCAGAGACTGGAGTGGGAGAGTTGTTCAAGGCTACAGTGAGCAACGATCATATGGCACTCCAGCCTCGTGACAGAGTGAGAGCTAGTCTCTTAAAAAAAAAAAAAAAAAAAAAAAAAAAAAAAGATACTTGCTGTTAAGTTTGGTCTTTATTTTTCCAGGTCTTTTTTATTGTATATAATATAGATTTCCTGCAACTTGCTTCTTTAATTTAACAAGGTATCATGGGGATATTTCTACTGTTGGATTTTTTTACTTATTTTTAGAGATGGAGTCTTGCTGTGTTGCCCAGGTTGGAGTGCAGTGGCTATTCACAGGCACAATCATGGTGCATTACAGACTCAAACACCTGGGCTCAAGCAGTCCTCCTGCCTCAGCCTCCCAAGTATCTGGGACTACAAGCATGTGCCACCATGCCTGGCTTTGTATAGTATTTACAACTCCACCTCATTCTTTTCAGTCACCACACAGTATGCTATAACTATTTCCATACTGACATACATTTAGGTTCTTCAAATTTCACTGGTATGAACCTCACAATGAATATCCTCACAAGTGAGATGTTCTCTCAGAAGTACACAGAATATTTCTGTTAAACACATAATTTATTTAATATCTCCTCCATGATGGTCAGAAGGAATAAACTACTCTGGACAATTTACCACACTAACTACATTCAATGGCTCTTTCTTGGTTATGAATTTTCTTATGCTGTTTAAGGGCTGAACTTTGGGGAAAAGCTTTCCCACATTCATTACATTTATAAGGTTTTTCCCCAGTATGGAGTCTCTGATGTTCAACAAGGCCTGAGCTATGCCGAAAGGCTTTCCCACATTTCTTACAGTGATAGGGTTTTTCTCCAGTATGAATTCTCTGATGTCCAGTAAGGGTTGAGCTCTTTGTAAACGCCTTCCCACAGTCATGACACTGATAGGGTTTATTTCCGCTATGAGTTTTCTGATGACCAGCAAAGGATGAGCTGTATCTGAAAGATTTTCCACATTTACTGCAGTGATAGGGTTTCTCTCCAGTATGCATTCTTTGGTGACTGATAAGAGTTGAGCTCTTCCTAAAGGCTTTCCCACATTCATTACACTGATATGGCTTCTCACCAGTATGGATTTTCTGATGTTCCAACACAGTTGAGTTATCCCTGAAAGCTCTCCCACATTCATTACATTTAAAAGGCTTCTCTCCACTATGTATTCTTTCGTGACGAGTAAGGGCTGCATTCTGAGCAAAGGCTTTCCCACAGTCATTACATTTGTAGGGTTTCTGGCCAGTGTGAATTCTCTGATGACTTAAAAGGATTGAGTTCTTTCTGAAAGCTTTTCCACATTCTATGCACTTGTGGGGTTTCTCCCTAGAATGAATCCTCTGATGGTGGATAAAGGTTGAGTGCTTCTTCAGGAACTTCCCACATTCAACACATCTATAAGGCTGCTTGCCTGCATGAACCTTACTGTGATTTAAAAGGGATGAACTGTTCATAAAGGCGATCCCACATTCTTTACACTTATGTGGTTTCTCGCTGGTGTGATTTCTCTGGTGGCTAATGAAGGATGAGTTGTATTTAAAGACTTTCCCACATTCCTCACATTTATAGTTCTTCTCTGTGGAGCTTCTGCCCTCCCAGTCCAGGCCTTTTTCCCTCATGACACTTTTCATTCGCTCTCCCAGAACAGATCCTTCAGAAGTGCTTTGCTTTAGGGCTGACATCTTTGTTTCAAACCAGTAATCCGGGACTGAAAGAAAATTTTAAAAGTTCAAATGTTCTTTATGTTGAAATGCTGAAAGTAAGAGTTGTGCAAGGACTTGAATAATGTCCTATTCTACATAACTAAAGGTTATTAATGTGTACCACTGGTGATTCTTGGCTAACTGTGAAAAGATGGCCAGACTAAGGGCAGGATAAGTAAATATGATTTTAAAGAAAATAATCTATACTATAAACACTGCATTTAAAGAATGCAGTGAGCACCTAAGAAGTTCCCAAGTTAGGAAGACAACACAGAAAACAGCCAAAAAAGAAAAAAGACAAAGTGAGAATAAACACAAAACTGAGGAGAAAGACCAGAGTCACAAAGCAATCTATAATTACTACTAGGGTAGATTTCTGCAGGTGGTATATTTGAGAATATTATGATGTCCCCAAGAACTTGAGAAAAACATTTCTCTGTGACGATTTAACAATGAACCAAAATTTAATTGCTCAGAGGAAAAAAAATTGAAAAAATATTCAAGGAACCAAAATAGTCTCAGTCCAAAAAGATTTTACTATAACCTACACTTTCAACATATCTATAAAACAACATACCTAGGCCAGGCATGGTGGCTCACGCCTGTAATCCCAGCACTTTGGGAGGCCAAGGCAGGTGGATCACTTGAGGTCAGGAGTTCAAGACCAGCCTGGCCAACATGGTGAAACCCCGTCTCTACTATTAATTCAAAAATTAGCCGGGCGTGGTGGCATGTGCCTGTAATCCCAGCTATTTGGGAGGCTGAGGCAGAAGAATCTCTTGAACCCAGGAGGCAGAAGTTGCAGTGAGCCAAGATTGTGCCACTGCACTCTAGCCTGGGCAACGGAGTAAGACTCCATCTCAAAAAAAAAAAAAAAAAAAAAAAAAAAGAAGAAGAAGAACATATCAATCAATGGGTTAACTATGTGAATCTTCTCTGGCCTTTTACAAAAGTACAGACACCAGACCCAAGAGAGACAAAACAAAATGATTCAGACAAAAACATTCTAAAAACGAATACAGCCAAACTTGTAGTAAAATTAACAATCACCAACCAATTCGTTTATCTAAATGCACTTTTCTGTTAAACATAAGTTGTATTTATCTATACCTAAAGACATATACACATACATATGTATTTATACTTAGTAGTCTGGGGAGAAATTCCACACCACAAATATTAGAAATAAGACTTATTTTTTTTTTCAAGGAAATGCAAGTTGTTGTTGTTGTTTTCTGAGATGGAGTTTCACTCTTGTTGCCCAGGCTGGAGTGCAATGGTGCGATCTCAGCTCACCACAACCTCTGCCTCTGGGGTTCAAGTGATTCTCCTGCCTCAGCCTCCTGAGTAGCTGGGATTACAGGCATGTGCTACTATGCCCAGCTAATTTTACATTTTTAGTAGAGACGGGGTTTCTCCACGTTGGTCAGGCTGGTCTCGAATTTTTAACCTCAGGTGATTCACCCACCTCAGCCTCCCAAGTGCTGGGATTACAAGTGTGAGCCACCATGTCTGGCCAGGAAATGCAAGTTGAAGGGGAACACAGTCAGAAACAGCCGGATTATTCCAATGGCCTTTGATGGGATATGTGTTTAATGTATAATGATCAACTAGAGAAAATTTCAAGGTACTGATTGTAAAGCTGGAAACGTGAAGACACATATGGACACCTGTTCTATGACGAGGGTGGCCTTGCGAAGCAGTGAGGAAGGGGAGGCTCTGCATTAGCATATTTTAGGAGGAAAAAATAAATATAAACCCTACCTCATACAATGCACAAAAATCCATTCTAAGAGGATGGTAAATATAAACATAAACAAAAAATAATAAAGCTTCTAGAATTTAACACGGAAGAATATCTTCATGATCTTGGGAAAAGAAAAAATATTAGGATCACAAAAATAATAAATGTTAATAAATAATTGTTAATAATATATAATTTAAAATAAACATTTTTAATAAAGCAGGACACAAAAAGCACTGGCAATAAAGATATTGATCAATTGGAAGAACTGGGCTGGGCATGGTGGCTCACACCTGTAATCCCAGCACTTTGGGAGGCTGAGGCAGGAGGATGGCTCAAGGCCACGAGCTCCAGACCAGCCTGGGCAACATAGCAAGTCTCCATCTCTATAGAAAAAAAATTTTTTTAATTAGCTGAGCATGGTAGCATGTATCCATAGTCTCAGCTACTCAGGAAGCTGAGACAGGATTGTTTGAGCCCATAAAAAGGAAGAACAGCTATTCATCAGGACATTAACAGTCAGTGACAACACAAACCATAAAGAGAGGGATGGTATAATACATGTAATCAGTAACAGGCTCTTCAAATAGTTGCCCAATCAGAGATGCTCTAAAGGACCAATAAACATTCTGAAAGGTCTTTTTTTTGTATTTTTTTTTTTAAATGGAGTCTCACTCTGTCACCCAGGCTGGAGTGCAGTGGTGCGATCTCGGCTCACTGCAACCTTTGCCTCCCAGGTTCAAGCGATTCTCCTGCCTCAGCCCCACAAGTAGCTGGGATTACAGGCACACATCACCACACCCAGCTAATTTTTTGTATTTTTAGTAGAGACAAAGTTTCACCACGTTGGTCAGGCTGGTCTCGAACACCTGATCTCAGGTGATCTGCCCGCCTCAGCCTCCCAAAGTGCTGGGATTACAGGCTCATGTGTTCAGCCCTAAAATGTCTTTAACCTCATTAGATATCAGGGACATGGATATGAAAACCACAATGAGACACACTGCACATCCAACAGAATAACCAACTTCACAAGACTGACCACAGGAAGTGCTAGCCAGGAACACTCCATGGAACAAGGAGTGTTCTCACATACTGATGACAAAACTATAACTGAGTACAAAACTCTGGAAGATTATTTGGCATTATATACTAAAGCTGAATACATGCCCAGCAGAAATGTAGCCACATACGAACCAAAAAATAATGTATAAGAATGTTCACAGCACTTGTAATAGCCAAAAGCTGGAAAATGCCATATAAGCATCTGAATGTAAGAGAGAAACTGCCGTAGAATCACACAATGAAATACTCTAGAGCAGTGATTTTCCAAGCATGAGCTCCAGCCCCCAGCACCAGCATCAGCATGTCTGAGAACCTGCTGAATAAAGAACTCTGCAGGGGGCCTCGCAACTGTACTGCAGCATGCATTCTGAAGCATGCTAGAGTTTTCAGAAGCATTGATCCACAGCAAAGAAATAAATAAAAAAGAATGATTTTGAGAAAATGTTATGCATATGCCAGACAAAAAAAATTATATGCACTATATGATTCTATTCATATTAAGTTAAAAACAGGAAAAAATAAACTACAGTGTTAGTTCAAGGGGAGAAGAATGGGTAATAGTTGGGAGGAATCACGGTGTGATTTACTCAGGAATTGTCAAAGTTCTATTTCTTAACCTAACTTTTGTTTACATGGGCATTAACTTTATTAAAAATACTAATTTAGGCTGTATGCATATTTTATCAGCTTTTCTACATATGCATTAAATTTTTTAAAGGCTTTAAGAAAGAAAAGGGAAATCTAGCTTATAAATCTCTCACTACTTCAATCAGAGAAATCAAAATACAAATTGCAAAATATCCAAAAAAATGATAATGAAAACTCTACATATTATAACGTACTGAATACAACTAATACACTACACAAAGTTTAAGGCTTTAAATATTTATATTACATAAGTAAGAAAGAAGAGACATCAGTGAATGAATAACTAAAATGTTTAGGCAAAAGTAAATAAACCCAAGGAAAGCAAAGGAGAAAAGGAACTTAAGATTCAAAAGACAGAAAACAATAGCACTAATAAGCATATCCAAATGCTCTTCTTCAAAAAAATAAAACAGAGCTAATAAAGGGGAAATATGAAAATACAGGAAATAGGAAAAAGACAAAGTAAGAAACCAGGAAAAGTAATGAAAGATGTGGAGGATATTATAAAAAGAATCATAAAAAGCTACTTTGCTCAACACAAATAACTTGTAACCTTAAATTACTAGATACTTTTAGGAAATTGTAAATTACTAAAACTGTTTCATAGAGAGAGAAAATCTACCTGGACAAGTCACTACTGGCAACACTGTCAGAAAAGTACCCCAACTCCTCCCCTGTGTTCTCCATCACAATAAATAGGTAAACAAAGGGCAAAGGACGCAAACCTTTAGGGAACAGCTATCGTGTGAGTTCAACTAGACGAAAGGATAAAAATACGAAAGGCCAAAAGTGTTTTATGAAAGTATTACAGAATTAAATCAAAGTCCAATGAAAATGGCAGATGAAAAAGAAAATGTAAATACAGTTAAGCGTCAGTGCAAAAATTTAAATAAAAGATTAGCAAACAGAATCATCCTCTGTCATATTCAGAGAATGATGTAATGTGTCATGGCCAAGATAATTGTGAATAAAATCTACCATAGAAACAGATCAAAATGGAAAAGACAAATATCTCCATATATCTTGAAAAGGCAATTAATAAAATTCAGCAACCATGCTTGATTTAAAAACTAAAATTTCTTAACAAAAGATGTGAATGAAATACTTCCTTTACATAACAAGGTATGTGTATTCCACCTGGACAGCCAGCTCAACTGAGAAGCCCGACACAATGCAAAGATGCAAAGACAAACATGTCCATTATTAGCTTTGTTAATAAGAAGTTGATATAAAACAAACTTTTTAAAAAAATCTGTGATATGACATACAACTAATTTCTTGAATGTATAAAGAACGCTTCACATTGACAATAAAAAGATCAACAATCTAATAGTAAAATGGGCAAAGGACAGGAACAGGCAGTTCTCAGAAAAAGAAATACAAGGGTTGCTGAAAATGGTGAAACATGCTAAATTACACTCCTGATAAGAGAAAGCCAAATTAAAATTACAGTAAAATACTTTCACCTCTCAGATTGGCAAGGATCAAAACATAATCTGTTAACTAGCTACGATAAGAGTGGCACTCATACATTGTCATTAGCTGTGTAAACATGTATTATCTCTATGAATAGTGGAAATATCCACCAAATTTGAAAATATACTTAACCTTTAACAATTCTTATAGGAATTTATTCTATAGATTTACTTGTACACTAGAGAATTGATGTGTATTAAGATAATCACTGCAACACTGTTCAGAGTTATTATGTCCACTAAAGACAACTGATTACATAAACTATAGAACACCCATAAAGTGGAACACTATGCAGGCATTAAAAAGAAAGACAGGTTGGTGTGGTGGCTCACGCCTGTAATCCCAGTACTTTGGAAAGCTGAGGCAGGAGGATCACTTGAGGCCACACGTTTCAGACCAGCCTGGGCAAAATAGCGAGATCTCATCTCTACAAAAAAAAATTTTAAGAATAAACAAAATTAAAAATTAAAAAAATTGGCCTGGTTTGGTGGCATGTTCTCTGGTCCCAGCTACTCAGGAGGCTGAGGCAGGAGGATCACATGAGTCCAGGAGGTCAAGGCTGTAGTGAGCCATGATCACACCACTGTGCTTCAGCCAAGAAAACAGAGTAAGATTCTGTCTCCAAAAGAAAGAAAGAGAGAAACTCTAAACAATATAGTCATGTGAAATAATTTCTAAGATATAAATACCAAAGTAAGAGGCAAAAGAGTATGCTACGCTACCACGTGCTTAAAGAACGCATGGATACTCTCACAAAACATATATCACATCTGCAAATCTCCACAAGAAACTGACACAGGGATGCCTCCAGGGAGGAAAACTGAGTGATGAGAAAGGTATGTGAAGGAGACTGCATACCATTTGAACCATTGGAATATGGTACCATAAGCATGTCTAACAACTAACAGAAAGGGAAATACATACACAGACAAAAAGAAAACAAAAAACATAAAATACTGAATGGCTGTAAAGTCTTTGTAGAAAGATTTACTAGTCCTCTAAGTAGATGAAAGAAATACTAGGGGAAACATTGCTTGTTTTCATTACATCTAAGTTTTAAACATTCTATTTCAAGTCACAACCAAAATTAAAACAGAACAAAGAATAGAAGACTGAGTGATTTTTGTTACTATATAAAGAATCTACACAAGAATTTAGGGGGAAAATGTTAAACATAGTAAGAATAAGAGGAATTACTTCAAAAGCATCCTACCCACAACTGGCAAAAACCTAGGTTAATCAAGACTATGTATTACTGGCATTTTACATGAAATACAATTATAAACATTCTCCTGAAGATGAGAGGCAAATTGACAATTAGAGTTTTAGAAGAACAAATACTGGCAGGATAAATATTTCAGGTGAGAGAAACATTCAGGCTTAGAAATAAACTATGGCACAGAGAAAGTGACATACAGAAACATATACAAGGTATACACAGAAAAAAAATGACAGCCAAGAGCAAAGGATAGTAGAAAAGAGAAATAAAAGAAGATCCATAAGAAAAGGGAAGAAAATGCTTCCCCATCAATGTGTTTGCCAAAAATAATTACCTGAGAGCTAGAAAACCATGCTGATGTTTGGAATCTGCCACTGCCACTAGGAAGTGGTATACAGTCAGTTAGCTACCTTACATGAGAGAGTGGGTAAGAAATGGAAAATGAACAGGGGCCAGGCATGATGGCTCACATCTGTAATCCCAGCACTTTGAGAGGCCAAGGTGGAAGGATCGCTTAAGGCCAAGAGTTCAAGACGAGCCATGACTAATATAGCAAGCTCCATCTCTACAAAAAAATTCAAAAATTAGCCAAGCATGGTGGTGCCTGCCTGTAGTCCAGCTACTCCTACTCAAGAGCCTGAAGTGGGAGGATGGCTTGAGTCCAGAGTTTGAGGTTGCAATTAGATATGACTGCACTCCAGCCTCAGTGACAAGGCAAGACTTTGTCTCAAAAAATATAAAAGAAAGAAAATGGACCAGAAGTAGAAAGAAACAAAAGACAGCCTGAACAATGCAGGGAAAGACAGAGAGAAAAATCACATAAAGAGCCTGAGGATTTCTGGGGTCTGGGATATGGCATGGAAGGGCCTGATGCCCTCAGGAAGGGAGCAGTGCTCCCAAATGCGGAAAGACTGAGGAGAAAAGTGGCCAGCCACTTGACAGGAGAATGACCTCAAAAGAGAAAACAGGGTCAGGGCCCCAGCTCTTCTGCACCAACAGGACTCTCAAAGATGGGCATTCTAAGCAGGAGCCCCTGCACTGCTCCATTTGCTCAGCTGTTGCTGGGATGGTTCCCACCCACTCACCTGCACGCGTGCCTGATGGAGTCTCTCGCGCCTCCATCCACGGCTCTGCCCCTTGCTCCAACTGGGCGATTAGTTTTGGTTTGGAAGAGAGAAGCCCTGTTTATAAAGAAAAGGGATCTTAGAGGAAGAAAAAAAATAATGAAAAGGAATGTGACGGTGGTTACAAGCACAAGCAGTCACCCCAGACCTCAGTGTCAATGAGCATCTGCAAGAAGCATGGACAGGTCAGGGAGGCCTAGAGGGTGGCACCCAGGATGCCCAACTCATGGGGTAAAGCAAACAGAGGGGGCAAAGTCAATTAGAAAACCAAGTCCTCCTGGAGGACAAGAAACTCCTATTTTAGGAGGCAGATGAATCATGACACAGAAGCATTCCAGAACTGTGCTAGCTGGCATGGCAGAGCTGCCCGTCTTAACTCTGTATGGCTCTGATCTTTCTTGAGGGGTGGAAGGAGCAGAAACTCCAGCCTCTAAGCCCACTCTTAAGAAAAACAAAACAAACACCGGATTTAAGACTTTTCAATACCCCAAACCATTTACCCTGTGAAAACACAAAGATGCCCAGCAGGTCAATCCTGAGTCAAGGAGAAAGCCATCCTCACCCACAGACACCAGATTCCCATAGTTCTCCAGCATCACATCCCTGTACAGGGCCCGCTGAGCAGCATCCAGGTGTCTCCACTCAATTCGGGTAAAGGCCACGGCCACATCCCCAAATGTCAGCAGTCTCTGCAAAACCAAACCCAATTCTGCTCATCCAGGAACCCTTGAGGAAGGCATGCCAGGAAAAGGAAGCAAGGTGGTCAAGGCCAGCTTCTGACAGTTCTAACTGTCCTCATGGGAACCAACAAGTAAAAGCTGAGCGCTAAGGGAAGGTGCGACCATGCCTGTCCTGCTCCTTCCTCAGGGCCTGGCCTCTGCTCACCCCACCCTTCATGTCACCTCATCAAAAAGGTCTTCTCTTTCTCCACCCCATCCTCTGCCACTGTCTCGAAACCCACTTCATTTTTCTTCACAGGATTTCTTACCACCTGACAGGAGAGGTTTGTACTGACTGTCAGCACCCTCTCTAATGTGAGCTCCAAGGGGGACAGTGTGGGTCACTGCTTCCTCCCAGTCAAAAACAGTGTCTGACATGCAAAAGTGTTCAGGTTTTGTTCAATCAACAAATAAATAGAAACTCTGAAAAGACATGGAAAGTGATCAGCTTTATCTGAGAATTTACAGGGAGTATGATCTGACTCTGGGGCAGAATCTTTTTTGAAAAGAAAAAAAATTGCTTTTCATAACAGTAACAACTTACTATGCATGAGGCACAGTGCTAAACCCTGAGATACATATCGTCTCTCTAAATTTCTGCCATAACTATATGAAGTAAAATCTATTTTGCAGCTAAAGACACAAAGGTTCAGAGAGTTGGAAGAATTTGCTCAAGCTCCCAGGGCTGGTTGAAGGTACAGTATAAAAGGAAGCTATAAAAAGTGGTAATGAAACTAGAACAAATTGGAATGGCCATGAAATATTAAAAGGAAAAAATGGGTAAGCCTTACAAAAAATGCAAAAGGTATTTCAAATGAAATTACTTGACTTGTTAGAGCAGTAGAAATGTGGGTGATCTTTAATTTTTAAAAGTTTCTTTACTTGTATAATATTCAAATGTTTATCACTTCCTTTCAAAACACCAGCTATTTAATCAGCTTCTTGAAATCTTTCAAAACCTTGTTTTCTCCAGGATAAAGGCAAACTCCAGTCTGGGATTCTAGACAATGAATGTTTCCAACATTCTCAGGCCAGTTTGTTCATGTTTCCGCCATAATGACCTCATTCAGGCAGCACTTTCCCCTAGTATCCTCAGCGATTATGCAAATCTCATTTATTCTTCAGGAAGAATGAAGGTACCCACTATTCCACTCCTCCCACCCCACCCCACACTAAACGTCAAGAGAGTGCTGCCATCACCCTTATCTTTATGCCCTATGTCTTTATACGCTAATGTGTATGTTTTTCATCGTCTGCCAGTTTGCAAAGTGCTATCCTGTTTCTAGCACTTTAAAAACATGGGCAGCAATAATCTTCTTGGTGAATGACTACGTAATGGGTAGAGAGGACAGAAATGAAGGATAGTGGGACCCATCCAGGATCACTTCGGATAGCTTGATCCACACACAGGGCAGGGCATCATCCGGAAAAGATGTCATAAACCCCACCTTGCTGAAACAGGTGGTTTCTCAAGAAATGGAAAAACCAAACTTGCCTGGATCTGGGCTCTTGGGGCCATCTGTCTCCTGAACTGTCCTCCCAGGCAAGGGAAGAGAATCCTGCGTAAGTCAATCTGGGAAAGAAGAGAGGAAATATAAGGAAGTCTCTCCGTGCCCTATCCTAGCTAGAACCTGCCCTCTGGACCAGGCCCCCACCTGCCCGCTCCCTCCACAGGTGGACAGACAGGTCCGGGTGGGTACGCTGGGAAAGAAAGGAAAGAGAACGGCTGCATGGACTGCAGCCAACTCCACGCCAAGCACCTTTGGCAGCACGCGGGGACGGCCTTGCCAGTGGCCCAATCTGTCGTCCCGGGCGCAAGCCTCGCGCGCTCTGTAATGCACCGGCTTCGGGCGGTCGCTCTACTTAGCGCAGCCACTGCAGGTGGGCCCTGCCCACCGCTGCCGTCCCCTCCCACCCCGGCTCGCCCCTCGACCCGCCCCCCGGAAAGGCGGGGAGCACCCGCCAGGGACCCGAGGCTTCAGAGACCCAGCTTGGGGTGGCCGCTCACAAACCAAGTCGAGCCGGCAAGGCTGCGGAGCTGCACGCCCAGAGAGACAGCGACCACGCCACGCGGTCCCAACGGTAGCAACCTGCCAGGGGCTGATGCAGCCCTCGCCCCACGCGGAGGCGGGCAGGACCGGAAGCGGAAGTGGTTGCGGCCGCGGAGGCCTCTGGGAAACGTAGTCTGGGCCGCTCAGGGGTCTTAGAGGCTCCATGCTCAGAGCAGGTTGGCATCACCTGCGAATCTTTCAAAAGTGAACGTGCGAGAAGTGGAGAGCGACTGATCGCAGTCCGGAGGTGGTGGCTGACATGCAAAATCTGGTAAAAAGATTGGAGAGGGCAGTGGGCCACCTGGAAGCAGTATCCCATACCTCTGATATGCACCGTGGGTATGGAGACAGTCCTTCAGAAGCAGGAGCAGCTCCATCTGTGCAGGCATTTGATTCGCTGCTTGCCAGTCCTATGGCAAGAGTACTTGAAGATCAGTAAGGAGATTGGGGGAGAAGTGCAGAAACATGCGGAGATGTTCCACAGGGGTTTGAAATTGGAGCGAGCTCTCTTGGCTACAGCTTCTCAGTGTCAACAGCTGGCAGGTAATAAGCTTTTCTATTTGTTGGTACCCATCTCAGAGCAGATCAAAGAAGTGATAACCTTTCAGGAGAAGAACTGAGGAGCAAGTTGTTAAATCACCTGTCAGCTATTAGCAAAAGTATCCAGGCCCTGGGCTGGGTGGCTATGGCTCCTAAGTCTGGTCTTTATGTGAGAGAAATGATGCTGCCGTGTTTTATACAAACCGAGTCATCAGAGTACAAAGATGTGGATAAGAATTACGTAGACTGGGTCAAAACTTATTTACGTATACAGGCTTACATTAAGGAGTTCCATGCCGCCAGACTGGCCTGAAGCAAAATGGAGCCTGTAGTAAAAGAACTGAGGGACTACCATCTGGACCCTCGGCTGGATCAGGCCCCCGGCCTCCCCCAGTCTCTACCAGGTCAGGCTCAGATGAGTCTGTTTCCCTCTCAGCACTGTTTGTGCAGATTAATTCGGGGGAGAGTATCACACGTGCCCTGAAACATGTATCTGATGACATGAAGACTCACAAGAACCCTGCTCTGAAGGCTTAGAGTGGTCCGGTACACAGTGGCCCCAAACCATTCTCTGTACCTAAACCCCAAATCAGCCATAAAGGAGCCAGCTGTACTTGAACTGGAGGGCAAGAAGTGGAGAGTGGAAAATCAGGAAAATGTTTCCAACCTGGCGATTGATGACACAGAGCTGAAGCAGATGGCTTACATACACAAGTGTGTCAGCACGACATTGCAAATCAAGGGCAAAATTAACTCCATTACAGAAGATAACTGTAAGAAATTGGGTCCGGTATTCAATGACATGGTGGGCATTGTGGAGATAATCAACAGTAGGGATGTCAAAGTTCAAGTAATGGGTAAAGTGCCAAACATTTCCATCAACAAAACAGATGGCTGCCATGCTTACCTGAGCAAGAATTCCCTGGATTGTGACATAGTCAGTGCCAAATCTTCTGAGAGGAACATTCTCATTCCTACAGAAGGTGGTGACTTTAATGAATTCCCAGTTCCTGAGCAGTTCAAGACTATGGAACAGGTAGAAGTTGGTCACCACAGTGACAGAGATTGCTGAATAAGTGAAGTGGGTTGTCTGCTCTCCCTTCACATCATGGGACAAATCTGTATCAAGATGGTTTTCTAGATTTCCTCTACATTTCTGCTCTTAAAACTGCTTCTTGGCCGGGCGCGGTGGCTCAAGCCTGTAATCCCAGCACTTTGGGAGGCCGAGGCGGGTGGATCACGAGATCGAGAGATCGAGACCATCCTGGTCAACATGGTGAAACCCTGTCTCTACTAAAAATACAAAAAACTAGCTGGGCGTGGTGATGCGTGCCTGTAATCCCAGCTACTCAGGAGGCTGAGGCAGGAGAATTGCCTGAACCCAGGAGGCGGAGGTTGCGGTGAGCCAAGATGGCACCATTGCACTCCAGCCTGGGTAACAAGAGCGAAACTCCGTCTCAAAAAAAAAAAAACAAAAAACTGCTTCTTTGCTCTGAGCAGCCAAATATACCTCAGGCTAAGATTTAGGGTGGGATAGCAGATCAGCTGATCTTCTGCAAGAAGGTGCAGCTTTTCCAGATCAGCTCAACCATGACCAGGACGGCCGACCAGGACTGATGATGCATTTCAGCTTTGAGCTGTGGGGGTTTAGTCTACCAACAAACAGTCCATTGGGAAGAAAACAGTCCCAGGAATTAACAGATGACAATGTTCACACTGGTTAATCTTTTTCTAACAATTAGCATGAAGGTAGCAGAAGCTGGTGTGTTTCCAGATGGTTCTTCTGACCAAACTAATTTTTCACTGTTGACAAATGAGGCAAGGGTTAAACGGAACCAAAGACTGAGGCTTGGCCATCTAGCATTCCACGCAAAATTGTTTTCTATAACCATTTTTTTAAATTCTCTATTCTATCCTGGGTCTGCCCCAACCATGAGATAGGGAATTCTCTGGTACTAGCTGCTGTGGCAGTGCCCTTCATCCAGAGCAGTTGAAGGAGTCTTGGACCCTTTCTTTCTCTGGGATCCCTGCCCAGTACCTTCCTACAGAGATGACTTTAAAAGAAAAAAAAAAGGAAAAACAACACGCCATTCCAAGGAGTCTAGCATTTCTGAATCCTCCTTCCCTGCTCGATGCCTGTCACCTTCTTCACTGCCTTCTTTACCCTGTCACACTCATCAGATATGGCTTCTGTCCAAGCACCTGAACAGGGGACTAAAACTTCCACTGCAGGCTGATTTTAGGTCTTGATTTATGTAATGCCTAAATCTTACATAAATTTGCACAGCACTGCTAATGTAAATTTCAGTTTTTTCCCTCTAGGACAAACACCAAAATATGAAACGTTTTGGAGAGAAGAGAGATTGTCCTGTGATTTCTACCCTTTCCCTAAGGTCTGTGGAAATAAACCTTTATATACTTAAAGTTATATAGAAAATAAATACCAAAAAGAAAAAAAAAAGTGAAGGTGCCAGGGTCCCAGCTTCAGAGATTCTGAATTAATTGCCCTGAGTCTGGTCCTGGCATCAGGATTTTTAAAAGCCCCCAAGTGATCTAATATGCTGCTTAGATTGACACCTGACACCAGAAAATGATAAGGAAAATATGAGAGACATACTTTGGATAGCTGTTGATTTCCAAATAATCCTGTTTTTATTTCATACAAACAAAAAGCATGTTAGAAAAGTATGTCACCTAGAACACTAAAAACATTTTTTCCTCACCATTTGCTGACATAGAAAATAAAAGTAGGTTGAATCTGTTTTAACAAATGTATTATTTTCTAGGAAAAATAAACATTTCTATTTATTAATTCTAGGAATTAGAAGACTAAGGGAAGAAAATGTATCTCTCTCATTCAGTTCTCAGGATGATGCATTCATTTACCAATTTACCAATGACTGACCAAAGCCCCACTGTGTGCCATTCACTTCTGGATGCTGAGGATAGAACAGCTGACAAGCATCCCTCCTAAAGTAGAGTCAGGCTCCTTCGCATTGTTCTTTCAACTCTGCCTGATGAGCTGAGTTTCAGCCAAGAATCCTACAAAGCCACTTTATCAAGAATTGCCCCACCTTTAATATCCAGTTAAGCTCCTCTTCCTCCATCCCAGATACCTAGCCAAGTGCTTCTTGGTAATTTTTCATCTACTCCCTCACCCTGTCTGTTGGTATAAATCCCCATTTGTCCCTGTTGTACTCAGAATACAGTTCAATCTCTTTCTCCTATGGCAGTAGCCTTGAATAAAGTCTTCCTTGCCATTTTCAACAAGTGTCGGATTAACTTTTCTTTAATACAATGAACAAAATAAATAATGTCCATCTCCTCAAAGACATTACATTCCAGTGGTGTACAGGAAGACAGAGATTAAACAAAAGCAAAAAGATAAAGAAGCGGGAGAAGATTGCTAATACACAGCTGTAAGGAATGGCCTCTTTGATAAGAAATTACCTGAGCAAAGAACTGAAGGAAGTGAGGCACAGGAGTATTTGTGGGAGAAGTCTGTTTTAGTCAGATAAAACAACAAATGCAAAGCTCCCACCTGGAATGCGTTTGGTTTATTTGAGAATCAGCAAAAAAGTCCATGTGTTAAGACCCTAATAACAGGAAAAGGCCAGATCATGTTGGTCCATTTAGTCCACTGAACGGATTGGTTCTTATTTTGAATTAGATGAGCGGCCTTCAGAATGTGGAGAAATTGGAACCCTTATTCATCGTTAGTGGGATAGCAAAATAGTGCAGCTACTTTGGAAAACCATTTGACAATTCTTCAAAATGTTAACCATAGAGTTACCATATCACACAGTGATTCCAGTCCTAGATATGTACCAAAGAGAAATGAAATATATGTCCACACAAAAACTTGTACATAAAAACTTGTTCATATCAGCATTATTCATAAAAGCAAAAACGCTGATACAACACAAATGTCCATAACTGGCAAATGAATAAACAAAATGTGGCATACCCAAACAATGGAATAACATTTGTCAATAAAAGGAATGAAATACTGATATGTGCCACAACATGGATGAACTTGGAAAACATGTTAAGTGAAAGAAGACAGTCACAAAATGTCACACATTGTATGACACGTCTTTATATAAAGTATCCAGAAAATGCAATCCATAGACACAGTAAATATATGAATGGATGCCAGTGGCCAGAGGGAGAGAAGACGTGGAGGTGGTGGGGCATGGGAGAAATGAGAGAGTGACTGCTGATGTGCTTATAGTTTCTTTTAGGGGTGACGAAATGTTCCCAAATTGAATCGTGGTTGTATTCATTTCCTAGGGCTACTGCAACAAAGTACAACAAACTTCAACAACAGAAATTACTTTTCTTACAGTTCTGGAGGTAAGAAGTCCACAAACAATGTGTCAGACAGGCTGGTCCCTTCTGAGACTCTGGGTAGAATTCCTCCTTGAATCTTCTCAGCTCCTCGTGTTCACTAGCATCCTTAGCATTCCTAGCTTGCAGCTGTATCACTGCAATCTCTGCCGGTCATCACATGGCATTTTTCTGTGCATCTCAGTCTTCGT